CCGCTGAATACTACTGATCCTCTTAGTTGTCAACTCTGTTAAATTGCTTTTAACTGCATCAAAGAAATCTCCAGCAACAGTATGCAAAAAGCAAGACAATCAAACCTTGATGGTCCAGAAACTTTGTTGAGAGAATCCATACTGTTGCTCATAGAGCCTGGCCCTTGTAAATCACTCTGAAAAAAAATTATATAAATTCTATCTTAAACTTGAACTAAAAAGACAGGATAGGGATATCCCCTGAAATCACAAATTATAGGTAAGGTGCACATCAGTGACAGCTCACAGAGAAAGTGTGTAAAGAATCAATTTAAAAGTTGTGAACATTTTAAACAAGAGCTAAAGAAATGAAAAAAAAAAAATGGAACAGTGTAACAGTGACCAAAAAAGTAGCCAATAATCTATTTCATGTGCAGCTAGTGAAATTGATTCAAGGTATAAATTGAACAACTTGTCCCTGTGTCATGTGATTTTTATACAGTAGTTTTGAGCCCACCTTATCATTGTTACTTTGAATACTGGTTGAGCTATTGAAAGCCTTGTCAATACTGGCCTGTGAATCACCACATAACAATTAAAATTTTAGTAACAGTATTTTGTTAGAAACTTTCTTATTGATCATCAAGTTAAGGATTCACTTCTCTGCCAACACAACACAACAATTTCTACAAAAGCTGATAACTCGTTCACTTCTACTTCAAGCCTACTTACTACAATTTTCAGTTGAGAGAGGGGCAACAAAAGTTTGGTGACCACATTTTGATGTTAAAAATGGGGTTGTTATCATGGGCAACTGGTGCTGTTGTGTCATTTGATTTCTTAACACTATCTCACATGCTTGACAGTTTATGATACACTGCTCTTGAGATTTGGTTAACATTGGAAACAAGGAAGGTTGCCCTTGAAAACAACATTATTTTACAAACAAAACAAAACCCTGTCACCAACCTCACTCCACACCTCACTCAAGTTCACCATCAGCAGAAATTCACCCACAACATTTAGTGTACATCCTTAGACTCAGTTCCTATGTATTCCACTTGCCTCAATTTGATAAACTTACCTGCATAGCTTCCATCCATTCCACTTGCAGTGCTTCACTATCTGCTTGTAAATACCATGATCTAGTGATACAGAGTAGAAGATATCATTTTCAGTTAACTCTAAACTCAAAAAGTGATTAACATGTCACTTCTCCCTATAATATCTATACATTATCCAGCAAATGGGTAACAAGAATACTCAAACTTATCAGGTAAAGAGAATACTCAAACTTGTTAGGAAGAAGTTGTTATCTTGATCTAACACCAATTCCTGTAACCAATTTACAAATGTCTTGCAGTTTGAGGGGAGAATTAACAATCAGATCTTGGAAACAATAACTATTGGTCACTCAGATGCTATCAATTCTGAGTTGTCTACTGTGTATTTGACAGATTTGCAAAAACAGAATTCAGTAGCCTTACTTTGTTGGTGATACCACTTCAAACATAAATCTTCTTTCCACTGTTTCCTCTGCAAGCCTAACTTTACACAATCGAAGATCTTCAACAAGTACTGTTTGATCATCCTGCAAAATTGAATGCAAGTGATACATTAACTGCATGTCATCATCGAATCCCTTCATTCATTTGACTGTACAACTGAAAAAAGGTTTTAATTAAAAACTTCAATAAATTTCCTAAGTATTCACAATTCAAAGCATGATAACATATGTGCATAAATAGGTGTATGCACCTGGCTGTTGACATTTGCAGCATGCATGTGATTGACATAATCAGAATGTGACACCAGAAATTGCACTTAGTGATCACACTTGTGAGTGTGTGTAATCTAAATACTACATTCATTCAGTCATACACACCTTTAATCTCTTCTGATACATCAGTTGGTTATTCTGAACTGTGAAATATCGCCTTTGGGAAAATAAAAATGAGGTATTTTACAATGAAATCATTTAAGACCTTAACCCTTTACACCCTAATATCAGTATGCATATTCTCCATACTGTTCTCTACAAATTTCATGAGGGACCAACAAGGAGAATTTGCCTGACAATCAATAGCTTTTTAGTCAGTGATCGTCTCCTTTATTCTTGAGACCTTAATGCTTGATTCAGGTGTCGTATTGTAAGGAGAAATTAGATGTTAGTCACTCTTAGGAGTTAGAGGGTAAATCAGCTGCTGCAGTTTTACTTCAGTGTCAATCAGTATCCCATTAAAAAGTACTCAGATCCACTACAACTTCTGAGAGTCAGAGATCTAACCTGTAGAATATTTCAGTCTAAATTCACCCCTAACTCACTGCTACCACACACTCACCTATGCCAACTTCTAAAAGCATTACTGCTTTTTTTAAATAAGTAGCCTTCCATTACTAAACCACTGCAAACAAATAGAAGATGAAAATTAACCCATAAGCACATGAACACAAACATGATTTTCACCAAACTGAATGCACAAGATTCACTCCTCAAAGTAAACAGAGAAGTTACAAACTTTGAGACTTTCCATTGTGAATGATGTAAAACATGTATTGAGTATTGTTCAGATACCATCAACAATTATAACAGTTTACCTTGCATCATTCAGGTTTCTTCTTCCTATGCATCCACTCTCCTCCTAAAATCACAAATCCAAGATAGCAAGCCTTGAGTAAAAACCATGAATCTCATAATCTGGTATTTGACAAATTTTCTGCCCCTTGTTTTTTGCACATTCGACCATAGAAATCTAATGGAATGGTTTCATAGACATTCCAAATCAATTACAACTCACCCACTAATCTCACAATCTTTTTTTGTTTTCTCACAGCCTTGCAACAAGACTCAATCTCACTTTATTGGGGGGAAATTGAATGAAAATGGGAAATAGAAAATTACTGGTAAATGATAAATATATGGAAACATTAACCAATGTATAAGTTTTGTACCCAACTGTATAATTTTTTTGCCTGTCTTTACCTTATTTTTAAACAAAATTCTAAGGCCCATGTTAGGAAAATTTTAAGTGGCTCTAAGGACAGAGCAAAATTTTTAAGATCTTAAATCATTATCGTAATAATTGATATTATACCCACCATTTTCTGGACCAATGTGTGTCTTTCTTCCATCTCTTTTTTGTCCATTGTAAACTGGACTGACACTTCTTCCACCTGGATTACAGAATTTGATACACAGTTGTTAAGAGTCACTATCAGCAGACTATTTCCAATTGATCAAAACCTGTCCTCTAATATTTTAACCCTTTCACTCCCAGGAGTGATCAAAGAGGAACTTCTCCTCACAATTTAAGTGCAACTCTTAGCATAAAGTTGATAAGAAGATTGAAAAATATCTGATGGGGGATACTGGTTGATAATTACAACCAAATTCTCAGAGCTTAAATTATAAGAAATATATGGCAAATGGTGTGAAGAATAAATCTTTAGATCCTAAGAGTGAAAGTGTTTCAATTTTTAAGTTCACAACTGCTTCTGAAATAATGAATCATTGTTTAAAATTAATATACAAACTCTTCCATCAAGGAACAAAAAATCCTAAAAGGTCTGACAGAACAAGACAAAGAACACCAAACTTGTTGAATGTTGCACCAATGGTATAATAGAAGCCAATATCTTGTTATCAAATTATTAATAGTAAATCAAATTCAACCCACCTGATTTGACACCCTCTTCATGTATGCATCTAAATCATTCATCAAATCATAACCTTGATGAAAATATGTTGACTGGGCATGCATAAACTTCAGAATCTATAACAGGAACAAAAACAGACAAGTTCAGTTTCTTCTCCCAGTCAGTCCTACTCATTCAATCTGTACTAAGACTTCTTTTCGAATTTGCAAGGACAAAAGAACCTGTTAGAAAAGATGGACTATATGCATGAAGAGGTCTAATTAACACTGCCATGTTCTACAAGGATTTCCAGCACTGAGAAAACCTGCAACTGCACATGTGTAAAATTATAATTATATTTTAAATGTGTTTGACATCACAATCATGCAGCTGCTGACACATCACTTGTTTATTGTGCCACTCTGTCAGGTTAATAAATGAATAGCAAAACATTCACCATTCTTAATACAAGGTTGTTTGGTAAATTTGTGACCATGGAAGGCAAAACAGACACTAACGGAAAACTGTTAGAATAGCAAAAACACACAGATGACAAACGGTTGATGAACAGTCCTTGAGGCATTTGAACAGTTTGCCTAACCATTTGAACTGGTGAATAAATTATTTGAGAGGTTTGGTCAGCCATTTGAACAGATGAGTAAAAATTTTTATCAGATGGGCAAACCATTCAAATGGGTGAATAAATTAATTGAACAGTTTGATTAGCCCTTCAAACGGTTTGCTTAGCCATTCAAATGAATGAATAAAACAGATAATGTCAAATGGACTGGCAAGCCATTCAAATGGATGAAAATATTATTAAACCATGATTGGTTGTGGGATTGGTTTACCAATCATATGGATGAATGAGTTGCTTAAATGGTTTGCGAAACCGTTCCAATTGCATAACTTGATCATGGAATGGGCAATTATACTCTTGTCATTTAAGGCCTATAGTGATTAAATAGTAAACAAAATAATATGTGGTCTCTTGTATGTAAGGAATTTTCCTTCAAGTGTTCAACTAAACACTGCAAGAAGAATTCCATATCTCTGTGCATCCATCTATTATCCTCTACTTCTTACAGTGTCTAGAACATCAATCCTTCTTCGTGACTGTAAAATGTTGATCTGCAATACAAAGCATGGTTTTAAAAAACTGACAATAGTTCTTGGAAGGGGGGTAAATTTCATGCTTGCTTACTAGACAATACAGCAACTATTGACAGAGATTCAATGAACATGACAAGCTCAAAATCGTCACTTCTACACTTTATCTACAACCTGGAAGGCATAGTCCAATGCTGTGTGGTTAAAACATGTCTGATTAGCTTTCACTGCATTCTTAACCTGTTTTGTGGAAATTAAAAAAAAAAAAAAAAAAAAAAAAAAAAAAAACATTAAATTAACTACTAGGTATTCAGTGTGGTCCTTCAATCGTCATATATAATACAGATTGGTAGGCACAGTAACACACAGCAAGTTACATGTACAAACATCTAGGTGGCTATGCAAAATTTTTAGCAACTACACATGAAGCTCTACAACAATAATCTAACCTCCTCCACTTCAGAGGCCTTACAGTGATGTGGAAGCTGTGCATTTCTTGTCAAGGCACTAAAAAGAAAACAAAACCAAAAAAAAAATTCACTCAGTCATACTATGGAGTATGACCATTTTTGTCACCAAGGTGAATGGAAAAAAATTTGGCTGATACATTTTTAGCAAAAGTCGCTAAATGGCCGATCTGTGTGCAGATGCCACATAGAAATCTGAAAGGTTTGCATTTGTCAAAAATCTTTATGATCTACATGCACAGTCATAAACCAGTTCCAGGCTGTTGCCACTTCCTCTTTCCTTATTCAAGTGTTGAGTCCTGAGATGTTAAATTAAGTGAACCTTACAATGACTGCTGGCTACTGTGGTGTTGCCTGCAGCTCTGATGACTTTTTTCTGATTTTCAGTTGCCAAATGGCAATAAAATTTTGAGCTTAGAGTGCTAAAGAGCCTTATCTCAAAAGCCAATGGGCAAATAAGAGAAAATCCAACATGACCCTTTAGTTACAGCACCAATTATTGAGCTCATGTCAAAAAGGTCAGTATACATGTCAAGTATTATACACTCACTTATCCAAATCATCACTGACTTTGTCAAACAGCTTTTTAGCATCCTTAACCTTCTTGACTTCCCTGTAAATGAGAGAAAATAAATAGTATTTAGTTTTGCAAAGATTTTTGATGTTCATCTACTTTTTGAGCAGCTACAGGTATGTTCTGAAATTGTAACAATGACAACACACTTAATTTTCTTTTTAGAGTATATTTGATTCAATAACTATTATTTAATTGAAGTTGCATCATAACAACTGTTTTAATTCCTGCTTTTAACAGCTGACAGTGTCAATTGGAATCTTGAATCAATCTTGAATTGTGTAATTAAAACAGTTGTAAATAGGCTCATTTTACAAGAGGAGGCAAACAAATCAACTGTCACAACTACATTGTACAATCAATGTAAAAAAATGAAAAATTCACTTTTTTCTTCTTTACTTTACATTTAACTTCTCCCACATTGTACCTCTCCCCACCTCAAACTGTCCATTGCTGTGTAAGAACTATGCAAATCTTAGAAGGAAAAAACTTTTACAGAGAGAGGAGATGGATTTAGAAAGGTTAAGGAATTGAAAAGATGTGATTTCATCAAAATTTTCAAAATACAGGTGGGTGTTAACCCTTTTGTAGTGCAATGCAGGTTATCCAATTTCTCTTTTTAAGACAAACCTGACAAGAATTTTCACAACCACACTTACTCTTTGATAAAAGTTCTCAGTGTGCTTGAGATTGATTTTTGTGCTTGCTCTAAAAGAATCTGAGGAAAATACAGATACTGATTATTTCACCAAACATGTCATCAAAAATCCAATTCTAGGTGATGTGAGAGAAGAAAACATTTTTTCTCTATGCAAGGTATGAAGTCAATGGTAATGAAAGTGAACTGTCAAAAACATGATGTACACATTCACAAAATGTACTGCAAATAAGAGAGTTATCAGTCTATGCTTGTTCTTGTTTAAGGCTGGGTGTGGGGTATGTGAAGCCATATAAAAGGTTCACAATTCTCCACTGTAACAGCTTCTGTTTACCACCAGTCTAATGATATAATCAACATATTGTTCTCCATGACTGCCAGAAAACAAACACAACAAAATCACAAAGGGCAACAATTCCATGTAGAAAATTTTTTTTTCTATAAATCATTTTTACTAATTGAAATATTACTTTTTAAATGAGATGTGATTTTAAGGAAGGACTATGGACTATTATAGAGTTGACAATTGAGGAAATCTCACTCACTGATAGGAAGCTCTGAAGCTCAGTCAGAGCACAAGAGAACTTGTCCAGTGTGAATGACACCAGCTCATCTCCTGCAAAGTACTTTGTCAGGTTGTCAATACCACTCACTAAAGCACTGAAGGAAAAGTGATGAAAGCCTTTATGTGAAAATACAGTCATGTAACTAACAAACAATTCTTGTCTGAACTATTCAATTCCGAACTGTACTATCTTAGACTTCAGGTGCCACAGGAAACCAACTTATATCATTGGGTGACCTGTATCACTTTGCTGTTATATAAAAGATGTTATGACCTGGTCAGGACAACCCTCATATGTGAAACAAGATCCTTTAGAAACCCAGTAATCCTTTAACCCTTTACACCCCTGCATCTGTATACAAATTCTCCATACTGTTCTCTATACATTTCCCATAGTGCTGAGCAGGAGAATTTGTTGGACAATCAAGGTTTCTTTTGTTGGCAAACATTTCCTTTATTCTCATCACCTTAATATTTGATTTAGAAGTGATACGTTAAGGAGAAATTCAATGTTAGTCACTGTTAAGAGTCAAAAGGGTTAAAGAGTAGAGCTTTCAAAAGAGGGAGAAGTGAAAGACCAAGAGAAAAACCACAAAAAGAGATCAGAGTTCTTTAATTGTGTACTAGTATTACCTGGTGGATGAGTTGAACTGTTTCCCTGTCTCTACCATTCCACTGCAAAGCTTGATCAGCTACAAGGAACACAAAGGCAAAAAATTATGTTGAACTGATGCTGACTGTAATTTAAGAATGCATCTTATTCAAAGTTATCATAAATTAAGTTCTGCAAGATACTTAATGGAGGTCATTTTAGAAAATAATTTTAACCATTCACTCCCATCAGTGAATAAGAAACACTTCTCTCCTCACAGCATCAATACCATTCTGCACAAAACTTGGTACTTATTTTAAACACAAACAAGAAATATTTAGCTCCAGAGAGCCTTATGGTGTTTACTGGCACAGCAATACAATACTGATATTGCTGAAGTATGTGCAAGCAAGATTAAAATCTTGCAGACTGAAAAAAACAAACACCAACTTATACTTGAGGATATTTAATTCCTCAATAAAATCGATCTTAAATGCCACAAGGGCAAAGACAATGTGACACCATTGAAACTCTTTTCATAGTAAACAGAACGTGCATAATGCACTTCAAAAGAATTGAGGCAGAAACTAATTAAAGAAGCAACTGGAAATCTTCATTGACTGATTTCAATATTTTTTGTAAAATGTTTGTTTGAAATGAATAAAAATAACTTAAACGTCCTTGATCTGTCCACCGACAAAGAAATGGAAACTAGGTCCATTAAAGCTTAACTTGTAAGTACAAAGTGCGAAACAAATTATCCCATGGCCAGCTAAAATTAAATACAATTGACTTCTTACCAGAATTTTATGAAAGTTTTGGGCAAAATCAGCCACATTTAAACAAAGTAGGATTTTAAGCTTCTTATTTCATTTTCTTTAGTGCTCAGTCTAATCAGTGCAGTTGTGAACCTGAAACAATTAATCGAGCATGTGTGAAGCCATTAAAATCATAACTTGAATTGATGCCGCTCACACCTGTATGAAAGTTGTTCAGGAATGATGTCGTTTGAAAATGTTCGTTTCCATAGCAAGCGGATAAAACTGAGTACTTTGTTCACATGGCAAGTTTCCTTTAGAAAAGTTTACTTTTTTTCATTCTTGCAAGATTTCTAATGATCCCTTTGTCCAAAGTTTGACAGTTTTTTAGAAAGGTTTCCAGGGAAACAAACTTGTGTTGTACATATTTTAACTTCATCCAAGTCTCACTTTCACCCCTTCAACAAAAATAATTTGATAATTATTTTTCAAAAAATGTTATAAACTATAAAAATTTAGGAATTAATATTTAAAACAACAAAAAGTACCTGCTACTTTGAGGAGTTGGTTTATTTGTATGGGAATTGACTTTTGCTTCAAGAATTCCGTTGACCAATTCATTTCCCAATTCTGTCATTAACTTAAAAACAAAACCTAAAATTACTACATAACATTCATTTAGTTCTATTTTACCTGTACCTTTTCTCTAAAATTAAAAATATTCCATCACCAAGTCAGAGACTATGCCTTGATCACTTTAAGATGCAAGCCCATTTAAAATTATGCCAGAGTATTGTCCAGTACAACATTTGCAAACCCAAAACATAGTGCTTACAAATAATAAAGGGCTGGTATACATCTTATGTTACCTTGACTTGCTCTGGTTCCCATGCATCAGGAGTCAATGAGCAAACCCTAAAGACCTGGACACCCAAACTCCTGTTAAAACAAGCATTACTAAATTGAAATAAAGAATTGACAAAGTAATTTGCGAGCATGCCAGAGTGGCCAGAAAAACCTGTCCTCAAAAAGCTCTAAAAGAAAAAAGGGCAGGAAATCTGAGACAGGCCAGCACGACTCACGTCTCCCACCATTAGACTATACTACATTTAACATACACTGTATAAGAAGACTACAACTAAGTAGCTATAAGAATGATGTCCATCTTTCTGATAACTTCTGGAAGTTTCTAGAAATTTCTAGAATATGACAGCTTTATTCCAGAATCCTATTCAAGCTTCTTTCTAGAAAACATTTTCCCAGTTTTTCCAAGTTTAAGTTCTTTCAAAAGCTGGAAATAGCTGGAATTTAATGCATGCATTAGCTGCTGCCAGAAATTGACAGCTTTTTCCAGTCTATATTTCTTGCAGGAAACTGGAATAAGCTAGAAATAGTTAACAACTAATTTACATTTAGCAAAACTGAGAGAAATTGTCAGCTTAGTCAGTTTCATTTCATTTTAAAGCCTTGAGTAAGAAAATGAAAAGAAGTACTTTACCTTCCAGCTTGCCATACATAATAGATTCAAAGTGGTAAAACTTACACAACTATCATTGGCTCTTTTTTTTTTAATTCTACATCTACCTTTTCAAGATCAGTGGGATCTTTTCTTTTTTGTTAGCAGTGGTGATCAGTGATCTGATATTTACAATAATGTTGCCGGAAACCCTGAGTAAATAGATCAATCAGTTTTGGGCAGGTACACTTGATGTACAGTTTTAGCAAAACAAGAGTTAATTTGTACTTTGAAAACCTAGTACCCATTAAATACCACAAATGATGAAGGTCTTACCTCGATATAACGACCTTTCTAAACGATGCTTGAATTTTTCATTGATTAATATTCAGTTTCAAGTCATAATTCTTCTCCGTTGCTCCAAGTATAGAAAGTCTCTATATTTTGTCAGGCCTGATTTTTATTATGATTACAAGATAAAGTTAGCTTAACGAAAGCATTCGTTAGCATATAATCTAAGTCTGTTAATAGCCTGAACATTTCTTGTAAATACCCACCAGTAAAGGAGCATGACCATGCATACATAGATATATACGTAGAGATATGCGAGCTGCAGTTTATAGCAGTGTCGATGTGACCCGTTATTTCAGAGTCCTCTAGAGCGGAGTAAATGAAACCATCCGTCAAGAAGAAACGCACAGTTAGGAGAGCTGGATAGTGAAACAAAAAACTTGTGTTGCTAAATACAATAACCAAACGAGGCCAGGGCATTGAGATGATGCAAAATCAACTGGCCCGCCATTTTGGACATAGGAGAGAGTGGGACTGGACCGAGGTCACGTTCTTCTTCCGTTTCGCGGGTATGTTTTATCAGGTGTAAGAAATTCAAGGGTAATTTCACGATGGCACTTTGTTCCTTTGGAGGGGTAAGTGATCAGTGCGGTGCCACCGCATGGGCTCCGCACGAAACAGGAATGGTTCCTTTATTATCCTGCGAGAATGATATGACTGAATGGTTGAAGCAAAAGTACAAGGGGTCAGGTGCGTCCGGGACAAGAGGAAGACCTGGTCATACCAAACGTACAGGTGATTCAAAATATCTGTTAGGGATCATACACGCGCACAAATGGCTTTTATCGCGATCCAGTGGACTCTTTTCTATTGAAGAGAGACCACGATATTTTACGATATTGTCGTCTCAAATTGTTTTCTTATGACTGAAGATTTCCCGAGGTAATTTACTTGATTCTTGCGAAGAGAAACAAACATTCAACAAATTGTTCACAGGAAGGGCAAAGGGGTTGACTAAAATTCTAACTTTGAAAGGTAAGAGCGCAGTTATTTTATTGCAGCAATCTCTATAACCAAAAACAACGATGAGAATAACTTGAAGTTGAAGGCTGTTTTTCGTCTGCTCGCTCTGTTTGTTTACATTCAGCTTTACCTGTGCAGACGCTTATCACGCAATCACAATTCGAGCGTGAAACTCTAGCGGTTTCCTATATTTGCCAGTTTCGTCTAAGATAAGTGAACTTGAAAAATCTTTTCGATGAAATTGACATTTTGAGCGAGAAAATGTCTTGTTTCACGGATAACTTTCTTGGTAACAAAAATTATTCGGATACATTTTTTAATTACTTATAATTAGTTATTTTAGTATGTAAATAGAGGCGGTATAATTTTAGGAATCTTATACCCAGTTTAAAACCTATCTCAGATTTATCGTTGTATTCTGAATCTCGACAAATTGATTAAACGTTTTTTTCTACAAAAATAGATGAATCACGATAAAAAGAAACTACATGTGATTTTGAGACGGTATTACGACTTGATAATGACACCATGGTATACGTAGAGAATGTTTTCCCGTATATGGACTCTCTGCTTCGCAACGTTAAGAAGTCCTTATATTGTCTCAAAATCTGCCGAATTAGTTTGTGTTATGGGATTTGCTTGGAAGATCTAAACTAATTAAACTGCGTGCTAATGCATAGGCAATGAGTTCACGTGTGTCCTTGAATGGGAACTGATCCTGAATCGTTCCGGAAGAGCAATTGACCAGGTAGATGTTGGAAGGATGACCGTGTGCCCAAAACATCGGTTTCAACTTACTACGCTTTATAAAGCAAAGGTAATGAATAGAGATTTTTAAAGGATTGATCGATGCGTGAGTCTTATCTGGCATTATAACCTACCACAGGACACCCACCTTTTTAGGCAGGCCCTTTGAGGGTTCAGTTCATAGAAATACAGCTAAAAATCCCAGGTTACAACCCTGTCATTTCCGAGCAGAGCTGATTGTTCTTTATCGCGCAAATTACGTTTGGTTGTTGTTGGTTTTTTTTTAGTTGCAGGCTCGTAATGAAACATCTCTTCCCTAGTGATGCTAATGCATTACTCACCTAACACTTTCTTCACTCAAGCTTTTCCCTAGATAGTAGATTTCTAGCTCTCTACCTGTGTGTGTATGTGGGAGGGGGTAGTGGGTGGAGGGGGACACATGCTAGTGAAATCGTTACACCCCTCAATCCTGAATTACATTTGTTAGACACGGTATGTTGTTAACTTGCGAATTGTGCTGTAGGATAAATGTTGTCATCCATGCCATGAAGAAAAAGCACCATCGCGTGTAAAAAAAGTGTCTAAAGCATTCACCCGCAAGAGGCGTGTGAGCAAATTCATGGCAGAGAGAATCTACAGGAACACTGGCGTTGTCGTTGCTATAGGCTCTGGTAAATATTTACTGTATCTATGTTTTCTTATTTCTGTCCATGATACCCAGGGGTGGTACTGTTCTTCCAAGAAAATTCTTTTACTTTCCCCCTTTTTTTTTAAAGAAAAAAACTCTAACTGGTAAGGAAGATCATTCTAATGACATATTAACTAACTTTTATTGCCATTCTTGTACGACTAGTAATCAAAACTTAACGACAGGCGGATGTACCTTGCATTCGCTACCCCAATTAACGCATATACTAAAACACTATTTTTTATGAACAACCAGCTCTTTCACCGAGAAAATAAAGTTACTTTTTTAAATTGTTTTCAAGCCCGAAAACCGATCATGATTTGTAAGCGCACTAGAAGGTTTTCTGTAAAGCGAACTGAAGGACTATTTGCTTGAACAGGTATCATTTGCTTCATTCCGTGTGTTCTGATCATCCTTTTCCTTGTACCATTTCAGCCATTTGCAGCTCATGCCGAACTATAATTGATGATGCTCCAGCCACCCCAGCTATTGAGAGACATGAAGAGCAAGTGACGAAACTAGCTGCATTCGCTTCAACACCAAAGTCTTTACCTAGGCAATTACGTCCACCACGCATTTCGACACACTATCGTTTATCCGTTGGATCAGCTTTTTCTGTCCCTAGCAGCTCTTCGCAGGAAGAACAAGTAAGCATGTACTTACCAGAGGGCGAACGGGAGAGAAGAAACCTTGAGACACTAAACAATGCGATGGCTGTCATAACTGATGGTAACTTCACCTCATTACCCCACTATGTTGACTGCAAGTGGGAAGCACTGTCTGGGGCGTCGAAGGAAGAATTCATAATAAGAGCCGACGAAGTGGTTTCTTACGTACTAAACACCATTGCTCCTTCACAGCAGGAGCAACTTTGGTAAGGAGTGGTCAAACGTCGCCGTTCTGTTGAGGACAAAATTAACAACATCACAATCGATGTGGGACTCGAAGCAATTTTGCTGGCTTACAATGAATGTTCAAATCGGTTAACAAAAACTCAGATATTATCACTCATAAGTGACAGGTTCTCTCAGTCGGAACTCCAACAGCTTCTCCCAGGAATCTCATTACGCCAAGTAAAGAATGCTAGAAAGCACGCGTTAGAACAAGGACGCGGAGAACTAAAGACAAGGAACGAGATTTTCCGATGCAGGTTGAACATGGAGAAAGTTAGGGATTTTATGGAGTTCTTTTCGAGTTCCACATTCCTCCAAGATGTAGCCTTTGGAACAAAAACATTGAAACTTTCTTCAGGTGAGAGAATCCCCATCCCTTCAGTGGTTCGTACAATGACTGCGTCGAAAATCATTTACCTTTACCATGAAGAGTGTCGTGAACATGATGTGGAGCCGCTCAAGGAGCGTACCTGTTTCCGTCTGCTAGAGGTTTGTAGTGCATCAAAGCAAAAGTCCTTGCAAGGGTTGGACAACACGTCTACGACTGGTGAAGAAGCATTCGAGACGATAGCCTCACTCGTTGAGAATCTAACACGGTGCGGGTGCAACATGGACCCGAGACACACTTCGATCTTTAAGCGCTGGAAAGAATTATCTCAAAAGCGTATACAAGAGTCATCTAGGACCGGAAGAGGCTTGTGCTGATCACTGTACTGTGTTTGCACTATCGGATCCATTCGAAGAGAGATTTTCAGGTGAATGTTGCCACGATCACAACCAGGCGTGTCCCGAATGCAAGGGTATTGTTGATGTTCTGGAAGCTATCGAAGATACTCTCAGAAATGGAGATCTGGACTTGAGTGAGAAGCAAAAGGAGAGAGCAAGGTGGGACTTAGATCACGCCGTTTCCAGCATCGATGCTTGGAAAGCTCATTTATTCAGGACTTTTCAACAAGATCAAGCGAGACAAGACACACTCAATAGGTTAGATGACCAGACCATCATGGTCATTAATGACTGGGCCATGAAATTACTTCCCATGCGTTTCAGAGAAACGCAGTCCCAATGGTTCGCCAAGCGAGGAATTAGTTGGCACTTTTCTGCTGTTGTTCACAAATCAAACCATCCTGACTGTCCAGTAGTATCCGTAAGTGAACACACAATCCACACATATGTGGTTGCCATTGACAGCTGCAAACAGGACTGGTTTCCCGTTTCTTGTATACTTGAAGAGGTCGTTGTCTGTGTCAAAGAATCGCATCAATCAGTATGCAGAGCGATCCTAAGAAGTGATAATGCTGGATGCTACCACTGTAGTGCGCTTTCGTCAACCAACAATTCCACTAGCAGAAGGTCAGGCATCGAAGTAATCCGCTATGATTTCTCTGACCCTCAGTCGGGTAAGGACTTATGTGACAGAAAGATCGCCCCTTGCAAACAGCGCCTTCGACATTATGTTGCTGAAAATCACAACGTGGAAAGTGCGAAAGACATAAAGAAAGGCTTGGAGTCCCCACCAGGAATTGCAGGAACGAGCATTGCGGAATGCAAGATTGACCAATCAGCGATGTCAACAGGCGCTGCTAATAACAAGATTCCGGGAATAACGAAATACAATAATTTCTCTCTGACTTCTAAAAGTATGCGCGTCTGGCAAGCTTACAATGTTGGAGAGGGCGTGGATATAAAGGGGTCTTGGCATGAACAAGATGTTTCTGGGCTCGAAAGGATTGGGGAGTGGACGAAAAAGATACCGCGTGTTACACAAAAGAAATACCAGGCAAAGGGAAAACACGATGTTACTGAGTCTGTCAATACTTTTAGCTGCCTTGAACCTGCTTGTATTGCCACCTTCAAGACAATCGAAGAGGCGGATGAGCACATGGACACAGGTCATCATCCAGAGAAGGAGTCCATATACGACAACGTACGTAGGCAGTGGGCAGCTGTAACGACATCAGTATAAGGTGCGGGCCAGGAAATTGGCAGGACAGATTATGTTCCTGTGGCGAACTTAAGACTGAGCAAAGGATGGGCCTTAAAGAAGACGAAAGCGGCGGTGAGAATATCTTCGGGTGTCAAAGAGTTTTTAACAAATTTATTCAACAAGGGAGTTAAGGATCTTCACCAAAAAGCTATGCCAGCAGACGTGGTGGAGCAAATAAAGGAAACTTTCCCAGTTTCAGAGTGGGTTGAAGTACAGACTGTCAAAGGATACTTTTCTCGTTTGGCTTCGCAGCAGAAGGGACTTCCAGTTAGCGAAGAGGAGGGTGAAGACGAAGCGCTGGAGAAAGAGGATTACATGGAGCAACTAGTCGGGGTGGCTGAACAAGAGATTGGCCTCAAGCACCCTCTTGTATATGATGATTTCAATTTTGTGATCTCTCTGCCGGGGGTAGATTAGCCAAGGTTCTGGAAAAGCAAAAACTCAGTCAGCTTCAGTCATTCTGCGAGTATTTTGACGTGGAAATTTCTGGTCGTGCTAATCGTAAAGCATCGTATTACGAACCTCTTATACAATTAGCAAATTCCTGTGATTGTCGCAAGTAAACAATTTTTTTCGATTCTTCGACTTAAAACCCGCCTTACTTAAAAATCAATGAGTCAGTTAAGGTTGCGCGACTCGTCGACTTGGTCCATTCATCGCACTCTCGCGTCCAAGATGATACAATAACAATCACATCGCGAGGCGTTTCATGACTTTGTATGGGGGTGCTTCATATCAACATCAAAACGAAAAAAGTTTATCATCCCGCTCTCCTAACTGTGGATCCCTTCTGTGGTTTCACTTACTGAGCGCTAAAGTATTTGGGAAATCTGATAGATCGTGGGTCACCTAGATGCTGATCATTGCGGCTCGTATATATGTACACTGTATCTACGTTTGGTCACGATTCATTACTGTTGCAAGAGCTATTTAGGCTATAAAAAACGTCAGACAAAGATTATCGGTTAATGATCGTTTTGTAAGCTTACTTTATCTTTTAAAATATGGCTTGGAAAATTATGGGGACTTTCCATGCTTGCGGCAATACATGGAAATATGACCTGAAAAATATAAGTCAGAGAAAAACTCAAGTATTTTTATATGAAGGTAAGAACATTGTCATTTGTGCTCTATGACTGGTACAGTCAACACTCTCGTAAGCGACCACCCTTGATGCAGGACAAAGTGGTCGCTTATGCTGAGAGGTGGTCATCTACGGGAAAAAAATAAGAAATTAAGCTCAAACCGAAGTGATTTGAACGTGATTACATAAAATTATTACCTAACAAGCAAAAACTCAGGCAAACAGACAACTGCCAACAATGTCTCAAACCGAATGGCGCTTAGAACTGTTGAAAATTTGTACATAACATCTTTCATCAATGATTCAATCCAATTTTACCTATGGATCGTATTACAGCCTTTTTTGCTAGTCAACTGTTATAATCTGCGAGCACACTTGGTCAGCGCTTTTTGAAACTGAACTTTTGTGATATTTGAGCAATGGTTTTCTTACAGTCGTACGTGATCATGCCGGGTGATCACTTACGAAAAGCCAGTTCGCTGTGACAAAGTTGGCTGTACTAGGTTTTCAAAGAAAAAAGTCACCCTTTTTTTGCCCAATGAAAGGCCTTCACATAAGTCACCTGTCATTGAAAAATGGATTCTCAACATGCTGATTTTTTTTCATAATACAAAACCACTATTCAATGTTTATTAGCAGATTTGTCTGATTATACAGTCATCTAATCAGTGACTAACATTGTTGGTTTTAAACAAGTTTCTCATAATCAATTAAGAACTCCGACAAATTCTGTTCACCGCAGAGTTTTGAATAAGAAATTTGCATAAGGGAATTTACACTAATGAAAATACAAGATACAACTAGAATAGATTGTTTCTGTTATCTTCCTGTTTGTGTTTTAGTCCAAATTTTTCTTCAGAATGAACAATTGAAAGTCACATTGTGACCACCATTGACACCTTGAGAATGGTTGCTTTTGTCAGGCCTCACATTATGAAGAGCAAACTTTGCAGAGAGATACTTAACACCACAAGTATAATGATAACTAAGTAAATGACTCACTTTTTTGTTAATTACAAACAACTTTATCGACAATGACCACAGCAATTCGGAGCCCTAGCAACACACCAATCGTTTGGGTTGCCAGAAAGGTAAATGATTTCCTCAAGGATACAGTCCACAGCGATCGCGTACGTAAGAGCCGTCGTTATAGCGATCAACTGGTCAGCGGTGAAAATTCGTCGGCATTTGGTAAACAAACATGACGGATCGGCAGTTGTAGTTGCACCGGCCGCTTGCTTCACAAAAAATGCGAAGTGTGTCCAGGGCATCCTTTACTTTGTAGCGGAGGACTTTGTGACGGATTTTTTTTATTAACTTTGCAAGAAAGAGTGATACTTGGACAGAATGGGCGCGAAACGAACAAGAAGAATAACCATCTGGCAAACCTTGCTCCTGAAGAATTTCACACGTGTTTATTTTCGACCCATCCCAGACTGTGATATTTATCGCCGACTTTGAAGTGACCGCAGCTTTTCAATACGATCAAAGCAAAAGTCCCACCAGATTTGAATTTGGAAGCGTCTGTTCGCGCTGTGACATTCATATCTCCACGTGTTTTACCGTGATCGTCCTTGGCGTGCGTTTTAACTTGAAGTCTCGTCCTGTTCAGCTGAGTTCTGTTTAGTTTTGATTTCCGAAAATGCCAAAGCACAAGTACGTTGTTGTTGACTGGGGATCGTGGGGAGTGGAGGCGCAGAGTTCCTCGAAGATCATCGTTCATGATCCCTTCAATGTGAAAGAAGGAGATGAATGTTCGCTGCAAGGAACAGATCCAGCGACAAAGAAACCCATGTTGTTTCAAGGACACGTTCTTGCAATATTTGGTGAGTTTATACACCCAGTATTTTTCTCAATTACATTGATTTTCGTTATGAAGTGCAACAAATGCTTGGTAAACCCGTTTTCTTTCGAATTCCTTGGTTTGGTCTTCACATCAATGCTCGTTAAAACATAAATCTTATGAATTTTGACTTCAAACAGGTTTTCCGATTTTGACGGTTCTTTTCATTCTTAGCTTTATGTCTATGCTCTCTTGTTAATGTTTTTTTCATGTCAAAACTATAGTCAGGAGGCATTGGTCAAGTTAATAGAGCAAGGCAAGGCAGCTGTTCTCAAGTGAGGAACTGCAGAATTCATCAGTCACTGGCTTGCAGTGCAACAAAGATTATGAAGCAAGACCAGGCCTGAGTCCATCAAGGCGGAGCATTTTAGAAAGTGAGTTAATTTTTAAAGGTGTACTTCTTTAATTATTTCTATACACCTGTATGTGCTAACTGTCCTAAATACAGAATGGATCTCCTGGTCTCTCAAGCAGGTAACTAGGTCTCCCTGATAAAAGCAACATCTTTTGCTAGCAATTGGCTTATAGTTACCCCAAAATCTTTGCAAAATTCAAAACATTTAAATTGGTTAATTAGAATTTGTGGTTTTGTGTCACAGGTCTTGGCTGCATTTCCTTCACTTTTGTTTAAAAAATATATGCACTAGACATTGACAGAAACTAAAAGAAAAGTTTTCATCGTTATGGCCACATGTCAAAATAATGCACATACATACTGTCATACTACATGCTGTCAAATGATCAACATTTCCAACTACATTTGCACTTCAAATAACATAGGCAAACCAGCTTACATACGGTATGTGTGTTTACAGCCTTTTTGTCACTCAATTAAAATTACCTGAAGATTCATTTGGGAGGGTGCAATTAATAGATTGTGCCATTTGTTGCATGGAATGGAGTGCAAGGGAGTATCTACAAACAAAACAATTGCAGCCTCCTGAATGAATCACCACATAATCTGAATTGGGTGGCAACAAGGATGCACACATGTTAGCTGACTGCATCTATTTACTGGTTTAAATTCAGCGATTAAAAATTCAGTAATTAATTTGTGGTTAAAAATAATTAAAGTTCTTTCAGCAAGAGTTCCTTTGTATAATTTATGTTTTGCACTATACAGTTTCAAATGTAACATGCTTTTTACTTAAACTGCTTTCATTTGCTTTTTCCTTTTTACAGGTATTGTGCTAAGGAAAGGATTCACTGCAGCTACAAGGTCATCTGTGAGAAAGAACCTTGGCCTGGTTCTAAAGAAGGCCAGAGCAAATAAAGAAAACAAGGCCAGAGCAAATAAAGAAAACAAGGCCAGAGCAAATAAAGAAAACAAGGCCAGAGCAAATAAAGAAAACAAGGCCAGAGCAAATAAAGAAAACAAGGCCAGAGCAAATAAAGAAAACAAGGCCAGAGCAAATAAAGAAAACAAGGCCAGAGCAAATAAAGAAAACAAGGCCAGAGCAAATAAAGAAAACAAGGCCAGAGCAAATAAAGAAAACAAGGCCAAAGCAAATAAAGAAAACAAGGCCAGAGCAAATAAAGAAAACAAGGCCAGAGCAAATAAAGAAAACAAGGCCAGAGCAAATAAAGAAAACAAGGCTAAATGCAGAGGACAAGAACAGAGAAAGCTATGAGAAACATTTTATTGTCCTTGTTTATTTTTTATCAAAAAAGACAGTGTTTTCTTCAGTTTCAGTTCAGGACAGTCATAGCGACAAAGAAAAGATTTTAATATGTAGCATATATTTTGGATACTTCATTTTTACTGTATAGAATTTCAAAGAAATTTTTTTTAGGGTATTGTTGCCAAAAAAAAAAAACATGATTCTTGTTTTTCTTGGGCATGTGAATGCTACCAACAAAAAGCCTGTTAAGATTCACAGTAAATTATGGGCTTAGCCCTGTTTTATACATCTAATAAATTAGTTGAAATGGTTGAAAGGCAAGTAAAAGTTATTACAGTCATTAGTCAGAGTGAATCATCATGAAGTAAACACCTGAAAAACCTGGAATAAATGCTGAAAGATCTTGAAAATCTGGAATATACTAGAAAAAGCTGGAAATTGATACATTATCTATATCACCGCTACTTTTAATGAGCATGAAAGAATTTTCTAGAAAATTCTAGAAATCTACATTTTGTAATAAGCTGGAAAAAACCTGATTTTATCCTATTTTGTGATTTCTGGAATAAGCTGGCAAATTCTGGCAGATTCTACCCTAATTGGCATGTTCCACTAACATTCTAGAATAGTCTAGAATTTTCCAGAAAAGAAAATTGGTAAATTCCAGAAATTTCTAGAAATATTTTCTGTAATATTTCTAGAAATTTTCTCGAAATAACCAGTATATTCCGATCTTATTTTGCAAGGGACGTGAACAATTAAATTACAGCAGAAGTATTGTTGACACATTTAAACAGTCACCGTATGTGTTCCGTGTGCTCAATACATCTACTCTTTGAAGAAGGACACTTCCCCCCGCGTGTATATCCAATAGGTCGCCTGGAATACGCCCGTAAGCGGGGTTGAACGCGGTACCAGACTTAATACTATGCATACCGAACTTGGAAACTTCCTCCACGAAAGGTTCTATGTGCTTTTTAAAATCATGTCTTAGCGTAGTTACGGAAACCTATTTGCTTGCGTGGAAATATTCGCGAGACTTAGCCTCAAACATACGACGAACAAAGTTAATGATATCGAACAAGGATGATGATATCGTTTATTTTAGAAGTTTTCAAAGTTTTTTCCCGAATAACGTACGCCAGTCACGGTAACGACTTCCTTCCGTTAAACTTTGATCACAGACAAACGTATTAATACAGACAGGTCAGTATCAAAGAAACGAAGAACAATGTCAACAAGTGCATAAAACACAAAAGATGACGGCAATCCCATAGTTTCATAACAAGGGAGATAAAGAAGACTTAATTGAACACAATTCTGCTTGTAGCCGACGACAGAAGCGAAGCAACTTTTCGACGACAACTACGAGTTTCGCAAATGAAGACACTATGAAGCGAGGATATATTTTGCGCACAAGCCTTGAATCGTTTTATTTAACGCAGTAAGGAAGAAGGTGAGCTAAATTAAAAAAAAAGGATAAAGGAAAACCGCTTGAAAACGAACTCTAACAAAAACTAATAGCCAAGTGGGAAAAACGTGTAGCGTTCTAACGAAGCGTGAACAACGTAAGCCACGTGTTACAAGGTTGCGAAAACGAGCGATAAGGAAAATTGTGTAAAAACTAGGCGAAACTACCAAAATACTAGATATTTAGACAAGCACAAAGAAAAGGAACAAAGGCACTTGTATAACAGTCCCGCTTGTAAGAGTTTAACCAAAACGAACTTCAAGATAAGGTGGGCAAAAAGGCGCTCTTCCGGTAAACACGTCTTATCATTAGCCCAAAGCAAGACAACCAACTAAAATGCGGTTCCGGGTGGAACTTAAAAGATCACGTCCCTAACGGACAAACAGTAACGTCATTGTTGCGGTTTAACACGAATCAAAGTTATAGCGAATCAATGTCCGGTGGCAAAGGCGTGGCAGCCGTTACACTGCAGTTGAAGCGAATACTTCTTTCGAAGCTGATTTTCATCTTCCCAGGTAAAAATCAGCCTCTCGTTCCAAAGATGGAATGTCACCATGTCATCATCATCACACGGGGAATCGTACGATAATATTCCATCTTCCTATTCGTCTTGTTTTCTGCTGTTTCCTTGCTGCTCCTCGAAGTCAGAGCGTTCGAGGCTGACCGGTTCGCCTGGCTAAATTTCTCTCTGATAGAGGTACAAAGGGGGAGTTCCAGCTATTGCCACCGTTGTTTCCTGTCTGACAGAGCGCTGACGCACTGCTGCAACAAATGTTTAAGTCCCTCACCTTCTATATGCTCTGTACTGTCACCTGTAGAGGTGGTAACAGTTGAATTGCTGGTATGGCCGACAGGATCATGGCACGTTCAAGTAAAGGATACCAAGAATTTCGATTTGTAAAATAGTACACCGCCCAACGGGTTGTCCCCTTTAAGCCATCTTTTGCTGCATTTGCAAAGTTTCTTGGGTAATCTAACACCGTGGGGGTTTTCGAGGCCGTTAAGCATTTCAACTGACGCAGCAGTCTTAGATGCCTTGTTACCCTTTGGGCCATTGAGGATTTTTGGTTAATTGGCAACTTCGCTTCTGATATAATTTTCATTGCCACACAATAACTCAAAGAGTGTCGCTGAACAGCCCGACCGCCTCCTGAATGCTATGAGCCTGTTCGCCTGGTGCTTTTCGTGGACTGAGAAGATCAATTTCTTCATAAATTCTCGTCAACGGACATCCCGGTTCTCGGTTCGTTTAAGTGATTATTTCCCGAATCCCGCTCCTCAAAATCGCCGAT